ATCCGTAAAATTTCATCTGCTTACTTTATGTAACAATTGTTTGGAATTAATACTTCCATCTGGAAGGGGTGTCACCTTCATGTTGCAACGCATTCCTAATCCACCGAGACCAGCGAAGGTAACAGGTATCTCGTTGCAGGACGTCACTTATCAATTTCCAGTGACTCAAGCACCTGCAGTTTCGTCGTGATGGACCATCGGACTAGTTGTCGGACCTCCACCAGCGCCACCATCGAGGCAACTCAAGCTTGGTCGAGCGTCGTTCTCCAGGACACGTTAACACTGGAACACGCTGCCGTCGACATCAATACCGAGCGTATTCTGTACCACCTGCATCTGGAACTGGAACACCCGATTCCAGAGCTGTTTCTCGCAAATGCTGAATTTCTCACGCTCTCGTGGCCTATTGGTGGTATCTGGAAGATCATGAGTTTGAGTCAAAACAACCACCACGTGCACTGCACGTCATGGAGAGAAACTGAAATGAATCCCGAGGAAGTGAGTGAATTGGCAAATAAAGTTGCACTGACCCGGTCTTCTCCAGACCCAGCTAAGAACCATTACAGTCCAGCGGATGATGAAGATACCGGGGATTTGACTCCGACAGTTTTCAACTGGAAGATGCAACTCGGACAGTGGGGGACCACTCAGCACTGGTTTCTCCGTGATATCATGCCGCCACAAAACGGTCGTCCCGGACCCTTGACAGTGCAATTGCTAGCCGGATTTTCACCTCTCGAAGTGCAGATCGAGGTGAACGCGATCACCGCAGTTGATACGGTGGGCCAGACATTCACTGCCGATGTGACGTGGGAAGTCACTCTGCCGGCTATAACAACAATCCGTGAAGACTCTATGTTGAGCGAACTGACAGCAATTCTCGAGATTGAAGGGGAACAGTTCGAGTTCACCAATGTGAACTCTGTACAGGAAAAATACAACCTGTATTACGGTCTACTCCCGGCCGGACCAGTGAATTTCACTGACCGTACTAGTCTCGCTACCCCGGTAGAACCCAACACCGAGAGTCTGAGCCATGTTCTGATCAGCCGGCGTATCGTCGCAACATTCAGCGAAGAAATGACAGTGTACAGCTTTCCAGTTGATCAGCAGAAGCTTACTTTTTCGTTTTCCACGGGACTTGGACTGAGGGAATCCCTTCGCATTACGCCTGCGCCTTTGGACGCGGGTACCTTCGCCATTGACAACTACAAGATGGGCAATGTGTTTGATGTAGTGTATCACGACAAAATCTTCGTCGGCGAAATTGATGCGAAGGGAACCAAGAAGGGCATCCGCTTTGAGATGATGCTGGAGCGCCGTCCTGGCTACTACGTCACGAACGTAGCGATCCTGGCTGCAGTTATCACGTATCTGTGCTTCATTTCGTACGCTCCACTGGCGGATGGCAAGCTCGTTGAAACTGGGGATCGACTCCAAATCGTGTTGACGCTGTTGCTGACTGCAGTAACGTTCAAAAACCAAGTGGGGTCTCTCATTCCACGAATCTCGTACTTCACGACTTTAGACAAGTACGTCTTTTTCTGCTTCATGATCGCCTGCTTAGTCGTGGTTGAGACTGCATTGTTTCCGGTTGTTGCAAAATCCCTTAAGGTGGAGAAGAGTTGGAAAGAAAAGAGCTTGTTGTGGTTCTCAATCGGCTTCTTCACCTTCGTGAACGTTGCGTGGGGTATCTACATTGTGCTCTTCGTCAAGTACCGAAAGCGCAAATCTAAAGTGTTGCTCAATGTGCACGAGGCTATTCGCGTCATTGCTACCTCTGGTATCCCCGCTGAGCACCGCGAAGCCGTATTGCATGAATATCTGGAAGAATGCCATTTCCAGAACTGGGAACTTCCTGAAATCTGCTGTGCGGAGTTTGGATATCTGTATGTTCGTCTTCCAGATGATGAGCCACAATGCACTGATAACATTGACAAGAAGAAAAAACTGCACGCGTCGACCCGGCAGAACACCGAACAAAAACTCGACTTTTTCAGGAACATCTATACGAAGCTGAATCCATCGGGCTCGCCCCTGCGTGCGCTTACTCGAGAAAGCCAAATGCCGTTGCGAGCGACGAAGCCGAGCGAAGCCTTTCAAGATGGCAGAGGCCAGATTTTAAGACTATCTGGTGTTTCACCGTCTAGTCCTGCTGCGGCTACTCTAACCAGATCACACAGCGTGGCTGTGTACCATCGCATGACCTAGACTCTTGCTAGAGATACCGATTCCGACACTCCTACCAATAGGGATGCAATCAATCATTTCCGTACCATGTTGTAGCATTCGGCCTTGTCTTGTGAAACCATCGTAGTTCGTGCAATTGTTAGCGGAGGCTCCCGCTTGTGGGTAAAATGATGTCTCATTGATTAATCGTAGGTAACAATGCCATCCGCCCTCTAATTTCCTGTTTCTCTTTTATAACATATGCTTGTACTAACAATCGTCGTTTAGAAGAAGGGGTGTCATTGGTACACGCTTGTCAAAAACACCTATTGCGCCATGATATCTCATCTCGATAACCAGCATTTCCGTATTTGCAGACTCGTAGGTAAGCAGCAGACGAAACATGATGAAGACTAAGATCAGTCTACAGGAAACCACGACTGCCACCATCGAGGAAACGCAGTCCTGGTCCAGTATCGTGCTCAATGACAAGCTCACGCTCGAGCACGTCGCTGTGGATATCAACACCGACCGCGTCCAGTACCACCTACACCTCGAACTGGAGCACCCGATACCAGAAGCATACATCACCAATGCCGAGTACATGACGCTGACGTGGCCTGTCGGTGGTATCTGGAAGATCATGAACCTCAGTGATAACAACCGCAAGGTGCACTGCATGTCCTGGCGCAAGACCGAGATGGACCATGTGGAGGTGGAGGAGCTGGCCAAGAAGGTAGAGGCTGCTGGAAATTCTAACGATCCAGCGAAGGCTCGGAGCTCAACTCTAGCTGCTGCAGAAGCCAATGACCTGCCACCAACTCTGTTCCCGTGGAAGATGCAACTTGGCAAGTGGGGACACAAGCAGCACTGGTTCCTTCGTGATATTATGCCTCCTCATGATGCCGACAGTGTTGGTAGCTGTCATCCTGGTCCATTAACAGCTCACTTAATGGCAGGCTTTTCGCCGCTCGAAGTGCAGATCGAAGTGAATGCCATCACGTCGGTAGACACGGTAGGCCAAACGTTTACTGCCGACGTAACGTGGGAGGTTACGATGCCAGCCATCACCACCATCCGAGAAGACTCGGTACTGCGTGAACTTATGGACATCCTCGAGTTCGACGAGAATCAATTCGAGTTCGCGAACGTCAACTCGATGCAAGAGGAGCGCGAGATGACGTCCAGTCTGTCACCTGCTGGGCCAGTGCATTTCACTGACTCGACCAGTCTGGCGTTGCCACTGAAGGCCACGTCGGAGTATCTGAGTCATCTGCAATTCAGCCGTCGTGTAGTGGCTGTGTTTAGCGAGGAGATGACTCTACGAAGCTTCCCTGTGGACCAGCAGAAGCTCACGTTTGCTTTCTCTACTGGAACGGGAGTGAGAAAATCTCTACGAATCACACCGGGAGCAGTGGACGCAGGCACCTTTGCCATTGCCAACTACAAATTAGGCAACGTCTTCGATGTGGTGCACCACGATAAGGTATTCGTCGGTGAGATCGACGCTGAGGGCGACAAGAAGAGCATTCGATTCGAGATGATGCTGGAACGTCGGCCCGGATACTACGTGACAAACGTGGCGATTCCAGCAGGAATCATCACGTATTTGTGTTTTATATCGTACGCTCCACTCTCGGATGGTTCACTTATGGACACTGGGGACCGCGTTCAGATCGTGTTGACGCTGTTGTTGACGGCCGTGACGTTCAAGAATATGGTAGCGTCGCTGACACCGCAGATCTCGTACTTCACGACACTGGATCAGTATGTTTTTTTCTGCTTCATCATCTCGTGTTTGGTGGCGATCGAGAACGCACTTTTCCCGCTTTTTGTGGGACTGTTTCCATCTCGTGAGAAATGGCAAGAGCACAGCCTACTTGGCTTCTCAATTGGCTTCTTCACACTGGTGAATATCGTTTGGTTTGTCTCCATTGTTCGGTCTGTAAAGAAGCGTACACGAGCGTCCGACGCACTCGTTAAAGTGCACGAGGCTATTCGAGTGACCTCCACCTCCATCCCACCCGAGCACCGTGAGGCTGTACTGGATAAGTATTTGCAGCGTTTGGACATCCCCAAATGCGATCTCCCCACAGTCCGCTGCACTGAATTTGGGTATCTCCATGTTCAGTTGCCGGTAGACAAGAGTATTCGCACGGACGGGATCGACGTCAAGGCTGCGTTGCATGTTGCTAGCCGTCAAAAGGCTGAGCGAGAGTTCGACACCTTCAAAGAGATCTACGAAGAGCTAAATCCGTCGGGTTCGCTGCTGTATTCGTCTGATCATGATAATGAGAAGCCTCTAAGAGCTGCCAAACCCAACGAAGCGTTCTTGGCAGGCGGAGGAGACCGACGCCGCTCTGTGATTGCGCCCAGCAGCCCCGTTGGCCCGCACAGGATGCAGAGCCAGATAACGCGACGCCGCGCGTGGTCGAGAACGTCTGAGTCCTAAAATCGTCACTTCAACAATACCGCAAGTGAAGTGAATGCTAAGTAAAAATGTACTGTTTGTAGTTTAATTCCGGTGGCACTCGCCAACGATGGATCATGTGGACTCAGATTTTCATTTGAGTTTTGTAAGAGCAGAAGTGCAACATGTGATTGGGTGCCTTTTCCTCCATTTTGAAGAACGTTCTACATGCTTGCTCAGATCTGATTCCATCTTTATCGTCGAAGTTGCGCGGATGGCGTTCCGCAGTCTCCGGATAACTCGTCACGCAATGCAGCCCACTCCATTTTCGCCGTACGCATCTGTGCGCTTGTCACTATACATGCTGCTGCTCTTCATGAACCAGACGCGCCGTGCGCTAATCAGCGCCAGCCCCAGCGCCAAAGGTGCTGCCACAGTCTCCTGTAGTCTCCTCGAGTCGTTTCAATCCACTGACTCACTCTGTATTATTTCCGTCTTGTTACATTGACGTCGACGCAATTTCCCAGTCTCCAAGCGCATGGAGATCCGCGAACAAGACTTCTCCTTCCAAGGTGCAAGAGTGTGGGTTGATGTCGCTCTCTAAAGCTTCACTAACTGGCTTTTACCGTTGTGATACATTCGGCTGGGTTGAATTTGCATACTCTGCGGCTGTAGATGGCGCCCGAGAGCAGCCAGTGATTGAGGTGGTAACCAAAGACGTCAGGACTGCAGATATTTTCAACGTTATGCAAGGTACGGCCGTGCTACTGGGTCTGGAGGAGAGCTGCATGGTACTGTATGCTCATGGACCCTACGCTGTTGCGCTCTGCGTGCTCTCAGCTATCGGCGGCGACGAGGACGCAGCAGAACACGCAGCATCCTGGTGGAAGGATGCAGTGACAGAGGAATTCACGAGGCAGGACGTCGTGGTGCTGGCTTTGATCGCAATTTGTGTGTTGCGACTAGTGGTTTTCGTGTTCCAAGTGCTGTGGAAGCTTGTGAGACTGCCGATGCAATGGTATACTACGATGGAGAAGGAAATGGATGGAGATATTGAGGAGAAATGCAGTGTTGAGACAGTAGTGAGGCTGAGGAAACAGTTGGCGATCGTCCGCTTCTGCCATCTGCAGTTTTTACTGGTGATCGAGAAATTGAAGCGTGAAATGAAAGACGCCAAGAAGGAAGACACACAGCAAATGGTGGCGTCGTTGGCGGTGTCTCAACACGAAGAGAGCGAGGAAGTGACGCTCGCTGAGATGTTGGCGACGTTGCAGAAGATCCAGGCCAAGGACAGCAGCTTCAAAGCGAGTGAGGTGGAGGAGCACCTTGTGGACATTAAGCAGGACGTGGAAGAGGAAGAGGATATTGATTCTGGTCTACCTGAAGCATGGGAGCGTTTACAGGAGATCTACGCTTCGTTTCTTCGGATTCAGGCGACAATTATCCGTCGGCAGAAGCGAAGAACCACGTGGCAATGGCAGCTACAGCAGCACGAACAGCACAGTGAGGACACGTCTCGACGTCGTCAGCGTCGACTTCCGAGCAGTGAAGACCCCACTGATGAGGTTCTGCAGGAGCTACAAGAGCTGACAAAAGAATTACCACAAGGATTCACTGCCGATATGTTCACATCTCTGGGTAATGCGATGCACGAAAAAATGGTAGCTGCTGGGCCGGAGACAAGTCCCATCCCTTCTGTTAAGACCCCATACACTGTGAACACAGCTGCTATACCGACAGCAGCCAAATACAGCGCCACGGCCCAGAAAGCGGCGTGAAATGGCGTTGAACTACATAAGTACAGAGTAGTAGAATTCACTTAATAGGACCAAGTAGAACGTAGGAGACCGAGCACTAGGTAGGGAATCATGTAACATATCAAGATACAAACGCTTAAGTCAATCCGTTTCAAAGCCGCGTTAGATATGCGTCCGTTACTTGGGATTTGCCATGATCTTGCTCGGTTGCAGTCTTGCCCTTCAACTTGACCAGTCACTAAAATACCTCGTTTCAGTGTCTATTCTGAAACCAACATAAAGGTCTCATGGGGAGTTTTGACGCGGGATGGTTCTGGGAAACAGCCCAATGGAATCAGCCACGACTTCGCGCACTCGGCACTTCGCCTTGAGGCTCGAGAGACGCAAGATGCAGCTTTCCACACTGCAACGGGGGTCCAGCGCGGCTTCTTTAAGCTGCGCACGGCGACTATTAACCGTCGCCTTCCTGCTGCTCAGTGCCAGCGACGCTCGTCGCGCGGTGGCCGAACGCTCGCATCGTACGGAATCCATTATAACCTGATATTTATATTCGATTATCTAATCTTTTATTATTAACATAACAGCGTATCGACGTGTGGAGATCCGTGTGGAGGATTTCTCCTTCACTGACGGACCAGAGGAGAAGCAGCAGGTCGCTATTGAGGCTCATGACATTAAAGGCTCAGAGCTGGAGCCCTGGCCCAATGGAGATATTCATATAGTCAAGTGGGAGACGACAGATGAGCCCATAGAGAAGAAAGAAGAGAAGAAAGACGTAAAAGAGAAGAAAGAGAAGGTTCCAGCTGTTGAAGAAGAAGACCATCTCGAGGACTTTGCTGTGGAGCCTACTGCTAGTGTTAATGAGGATGCGGCGTTGAAAAGATACGCGTCGTATCATACTGCCTTGTGGTGGTGGAGTCACGACAAGACGGAGTTGACGACACAGGAACAAGCGGCTGTACTGGCCGTAGTGGTGGCTATGTTGACGGTTCTTGGCCTTCTTGTGGTGCTGGTGTGGAATCTGGGCTGGTTCTTGTGGCGATTCTACCGTGAACGACGCACATTGAGCAAATTATTCAGTGAAAACGACCCAGAAGTGCTGGAACAGGAGCTGCGTAAATTTCCCGCTGATCTTCTGTCGCTGAGGATTAAACAGGTCGCGTGTGTACGACTACGACACTTGCAGGTGTTGTCCAACGCCAGAGACTTTAAGCAGCAGCTTGCAGCTGTGGAATTCCGAGAAGTTGAGATGGAATTAGTGAACCTCCCGCTACATCCAACGTCGAGGAAGGAGATGACGTTCGCAGAGATGATGACGGCGGTCGAGGAGATCGCGTGTAGAGGAGAACAGGTGGCAGTGGAGATGATGCAGCTCGTTGTTCCTCCTCGTTGGAAGAGCTACGTGGACGAGAATTCGTGGCTCAAGGCGCAAGACGAGAGTTTGCAGAGCTTACACTTGGAGAATGCTCGTGTCCAGCAGCTCTCGGAGCAGATATCCGAGCTCATTGTAGCGAAAATGAACTCTAGCGACCCTCTACCAAAACCGGTCTTCCTGTTGCTACTGGCATCGCTACGTCAGAGTTCTGGAACACCGCCACAAAATGGAGCGAATGGCAACGCGACGTCCAGCGAGATGGACGCGTTTGCAAGGTGTTGGAGCGGAAGTATGACGATGAGTGGCAGTGTGGGCAATCTGGGTGGATACAAGGACAAAGATGAGTTCAACTTCTTACTCAAAGCGTACGACGAGAAGTCTGAGCAGCAAAAAGTCCAACAGGAACTGCAGAGTGCGATTGAGTACTTCCAATCAGCTCATGAACCTGAACACGAACAGTTGTTACTGTTGGAAAACGCAGATAATGCCAGCAACAGCCAGATTATCCAGCGAACCAAGCAGCTTGGTGCTACTACAGCGGCTAGCAGTGGAGCTACAGCCGCGTCCATGCGTCGTTTAGAGCGCTGGGTGGATCAAGCTGAGGTGATGGAGATGACGTACGTTGAAGAAGTGGAGAGTGCGCAGTTCATGCTGGAGGATGCCCGACGCGACAGCTTCTGCGCAGCGATCGTCAGTAACGAAGGGAAGGGACTCGATAGCGTCCAGACTTTGGCGACGAACTTCGTAGCACTCGGGGCTAAACGCGAAGATGCCATCTTGAAAGCTGGCGAGATCTTGGCGAACCGCTCGAACATGATGCTCTTGGTGCACAGTCTTCGCGGTATGTTCGATCAACTACGCAAGCGAGACATCATGAAAATGAACGAGCGCCGAAGTCGAGACCGTGCTAAGGCACAAGAGAAGCGCGACCGTATGGCTCAGAAGTTCCTCAATAAACAGCGACTAATCGCTGAAAAAATCGACCGGACTCGCGAAACGCAGCGTCAACGGGAAGAGGAGGCGCGGTTGCAACGGCGAATGGAGGAACTGAAGGAGACGCGCGCTCAAAATGCACGAGATCGAGCGTCTTTCGTGTGGACAGTAACGAAAACCGACGTATTGGTGGTGCTGGTTATCATGGCCATTGTGTTCTTTGAGAACGTGCGAGAAGTGGCGTTCATCAAGCCTCTGTGCCAACCAGATGACCATCAGCACTGGTGGATGGTTTCTTGGTGGGCTCCCAGTTCGCTGCAGGTTTTCGGCTGTGAAGTGGCGTACGGTGTGAAGATTCTGGGGATTCTTGTTGCGCTTGGAGTGCTCTTCTTTGCGGTAGCACAGCTTAACCTGGTGGCTGTTATGCTGCCTGTACTGGGTGCTATCGCTCTGTATTACTTGCGTGACGAGTGGCTGAACATGCTCGTCCGTCTGCCGTTGTTACTCGTCATTTACGGCTTTAACTCTGGAGTTCTGTACCTGTTTAACCGCTTTGAAGACCGCGGCAGTGATAGCCACGTGATTAAGGGAGAAGATAAGGACGCAGTGGTCATTGCTACCAAGCGGAGGAGTATGCTGCTGTACGTCGTGTTCCCGCTTTGCTCGCTGCTTCTGACAGTGGTAACGGGTGTCGGCATCGCGTGTGACGAGCCAGAACAGTGCGTTGTATCGGCTTATGAGGCTACTACACCCGTGCTCGCAGGTTTGTGGGAACTCGCACGAGGAGCCTATCGATTGTAGAAGTTAGAGCGGCGAGGGAAAGTTAGGAGCACCGAGGCCGTGCGGTATTTTGCTGGCTCATTGACCAGGGATTTTTTTAATTTGAAATGTGTACTGCTACTAGACAACAAGAAAGGTTTACCCAAGCTCAGAGTTTGTGTATTTTGTTGTGTATTCTTCGAAGGTGCGTTTAGGCAAAGTAGTGACGAATTTTAGCTCATCGTCAGTTCAAAAAGACGCACAGCACAGCAGCAAGAGTGCCAGCTGCAGCGATACCGAAGCAGACTCCAGTCGGCGATGGTTCTTCGTCTTCCCACTCCATGCCAATAGAAAATCCATCGTCTACGAATGCAGCTTGTGAACTCGGCTTGGTAGCGGTTTTCATCAATACTTTCATTGTCTTCTCTTCACGTTTCGTGCACTTGAACAATGGGCACGATGACACTTTAGCAGGAAGTGCATTCTCTTCCTCGTCCGGCGAGATCGCAATCTGGTTCATTGCGCTGGAGTTTGTGTGTTTCTCCAATAGTTCTGCTGATAAATTACTGTCTTGTGCTGATTGTAGGCGAGTTAGAACACTGCCGTCCTCGCTGGACGAGTCATCATCGTCAGTGTCGCTGAACGAAAGTGTAGGGACCAAATCATCAAACTGTACGAGACAGACAACAAAAAATGAATCAGTGGCTGCAACACGGCAATTTTATAAGCTGGAGCGATGATCTGTTTACCTGCGAATCTCTTCGAAAAATGTGGTCCGAGTACCGCAGCAGCGTCTGCACGAAGCACATGCCAAGCTCATCCTTAATGGTTAAGTTGCTCGGGTCGCTATCGAATCTAGGCATTGTGTCGTCGTCGGTCATTGCAATGATTTTAGCGTGATACTTGCTTAAAAATGTGGTGAAGACCTGCCAAGCAACGTACACATTAATGTTTAGCTCTAACAAAACGTCTGCCACATTCCTTACCTCTTGAGATTGATCGTGTACGGAGAGCCATCGGAATAAATTCATAAGCGCATCGAGGCACTCGCGCTGTTCGATGTTCACCAGATCCACAGCATTCACAAGCGGGTACAGCATTGATAGAGCGATAGGTTCTTTGCTCGCTGTATCTTTCTCCTTTGTCAATAAGTATTCCAGTGTTGAAGACAACATACTACTCGGTTCACAATGCACCAATGGGGTCTGCAGTCGCGTCAAATACGAAGTCAATAGTGCTGCGAGAACGCGGTATTGAGCAGCAGCCTTCGTTCGCTGCTGTCGGAATAGTCTTTTAATCACCACAAACACTCTCTGTTCTTGCAGAAGCCCATCAAATAGGTCGTTCTTAACCTCACTTTTCACCCACGCGAGCAGCGCCGCATGCAGTCGACGCTGGAGCTCATTAGTCTCTTCATCCAACAAGTCCGGTGTAGCAACGAAAATGGCGAGTTCTGCGTCCGTCACGACCAGCTTAGCCGTCTGGGATAGGAACACGAACAGGTACAACGCAATTATGCGAATCAAGTGCAGTAGAAGGCTGTCGACATCCTCCATATCGGCTTTCGGCTCCTGTTCCCGAGTTTCTGGGGAATATGCGTCAGACGCCTTTAATTCAGCCGTCTCCACACGCGCCACCATCGATTGAAACCCGCAAGCTGCTCAGCTAGGAACAGTCTCAAATTGACCGATCGGTGGGCCGGGCGACTTCCTCGTGTTGAAGTAGCGGCGGTTTCTAGCGATGCAAGTTCGACGCTAGTGTCAATGCAACAGCTAATCGAGAAACGTCCTTAGCTAACTCACTTGAAACCTCGTCGACTGAGACGAAGCCTACCTCAAGGTGAATGCTCAACTGAGCAGAAGAAACGCAAAGACACTTGGTGGGTGGACTGCAAGGCGTGATCCACTCAAACCGACAGAGTCGACGTGTTCAAATCTGTGGTTACGATCATCTCTAGTCGGGTAGGTTACGCCTCGACCCCGTTGCGTAACTACTGCCTGTCCATGATGCCTGAAGAACCGATCCACAGCAAGCTACAGCCGGCGTTGGGCGTCTCCGCTCTACTTGTGGCTCTTTACATTATTCCGTTGGAGTCCGTAGGGTACCTGCTACGTTTTCTAGTGCTGGTGTACCTGGTTTTGTCTATCCTCGACGTGCTTTTGACTCGCTATCATCGCTGGAACTTCTCGTCATCAGAACCAAAACCTCAAGTCAAACATGTTACGCTCATCACGGGAGCGTCGTCCGGACTGGGCAAGGAGATGGCGTATCAACTGGCTGAAAAAGGGCATTCCCTACTGCTAGCAGCTCGAACGACGTCCGTGCTGGAACGTATGCAGACGGAGATCGAACAGGTTCATGAAGGGATCAAAGTATCGTTCTGCGCGTGTGACTTAGGCTCCGAGACAGGTATCAACGCTCTGGTAGCGTACGCAACCAAGAACGGACTTGTGGTTGGCATTCTCGTGAACTGCGCCGGGTTCTCCATCACGAAAGACTTTGTCAAGCTTTCGCAGACGCAAGTTACACAGATTATGGCGTTGGATATGGCGGCCGTGGCGCAGCTTACACACGCATTCGTGCCGCAGATGGTGGGGCGTGGAGTTGGAAGAGTGCTCAACATCGGCTCGATGGCCGGCTCGGTCGTGACGCCGTCGGCTGCGTTGTACAGCAGTGCAAAGGCTTTCGTTATCAACTTCAGTCAAGGACTCGACTACGAGCTGCGCGGCACGGGCGTCACCGTCACCTGCTTCTGTCCCGGTCCAGTGCACACGAACTTTGGACGCACTGCAGATTGCGACGACGCAATCTACATGAACATCCCTGGGACTGCATGCACACCGAAGGACTGTGCAGCGCTGGCTTTACAAGCGATGTTTCGTGGTCAGACGATGGCGTACGATACCTGGTTTGCCCAAATCTCGGCATTTCTGGGAGCGTGCGTGTCCCCAAGACGGCTCCTTGCTGCAATTTGTGCCGTGTGTATGAATGCGCCGAACAAGGCAGCACAAATGCTTCGCTGTTAGGATAAGAACGCTTATCGAAACGTTTGAACAGTACATCATTTTTGATTGAAAAACTTCACATACGTGAGCGCTATGAACTCTATGAGCTTGGTAGTCGTCTAAACCAGCTCCAGGGCGTCAAAGACAACCGAAGCGGACAGGTATTTCTCGGCCGGGTCGCTAGCACCGCTAGCAATTGACAGCGTGATGGTGTTTGACCCCGTCTTAAGAGCCGACGACGGGATCACGTAGTCGTACAACTTGTAGTTGCCGAGAGTGACACCGAGGGTGATACCCCGCGTCTTGACCCCCACAGACTCAGGAAGTTCGGCAGTCCAGTCGTTTACAATGACTCTGGAGCGTGCACCAGCCTTAGCGAGCGTCAATCCGATCTTGAGCGTCCTGGACTCTGCAGCCTGCGCGTCCGTCAGGTCGAAAGTGATCTTGATGTTGTCATTCGCGGCACGGAACTGAGCCAAGGGGAACTTGCTGTTGTCGTCCTTGCCGGCGGCGAACGTGATCGGGCCCCACGCAGACATGCGCGAGTCACTCGGGTGCATCGTGTGGATCTTGTCAGCGTTCAGGAAGCCGTCGGTGGTGCCGTCCCATTCACCGATACGCCAAATAGGGTCCTTAGTGAGCTCGTATGTCACGTCAATGGTCTGCTTTGCGGACTCGCCCTCAGCCACAGTAACCGAGGCCGAGCCGACAGCCAATTGCTTCTTGTACACAGTGGCCTTGTAGGTGCCAGGCTTCATCTTGGGGGACGTGAACGTCTTGGAACCAGCAGCAACCTTCGTCCAGTATTGTGCGTCGGCGTTCGAGAACGCCACAACAATCTCCGAGTCTCCCAGAACGTCGTTCGCATCCGTGATCGTACCGGCGACTTCGCCACGCTTAGCATCCGGGACAAAACCAGTCAGATCCAGACCTTGGAAGAACGAGAAGTCAAGCGACGAAGCCGATGGAGCAGCGCCACTAGTGAGCGCAAGCGCGTACGGACCGTGGAAACCGTAGCGGTATTCCTCGATACGGGTGTGGTCCGAGTTCATGTAGAACGTGAGCTCGTTCGAGACGTCGAGCTTGTTGTTGATGTCACGGAAGAACGGGCCACCGCTCGACGTCTCGTAGCTGTGCTCTGACATCACCAAATACACACCGGCAGCAGTGCTGTTGACGCCGTGGACAGCATCGTCGATGAACGGCACACCCGAGTAGTATTTCGAACGGGTGATGCCCTCACTGTTCTGCATGACATCGGTAGCCTCAATAGCAGTCATGCCAGACTCGACGGTTGCTTCGAGAATACCTTGGTTCATCACAGTCTTGTCCAAACGAGCAAGGAATCGCAGTTCCGGTAGAACCAGGTCCTTCGAGTGGTAGGTGCCCATGTATACCACATTCTCGTTGGGACGGAAGAAGTAGGATTGCTCCAGTCCAGTCTTCTTACAGTTGACGTGGATTGTCTTCTTGTCATCGTTCAAGGATTCGATAGTCGACGTCACTCCCGAGCCCAAACCGGAGTTAACATGCGTACCCATGGACTTGTACTGCAGTTCCTTGTCGTTGTAGCTAATGGACACGATATCGCACGTCGACTGCCTCATGGAAATCGTCAAACCCGCTCCCGTGCTGATAACGTATTTATCGGCGTTCGTGGTGTAGCCGAAGTCCGTGGCAGCAGAGACCGAAGGGATTGTTGCAAGCAAGGAGGCAGCCGCCAGAGATGCAAGAAGACGGCAAGGCAACATTTTTCAGCAGGACTTGTAGAGGACACGGAGGTTTACCAAATGACTTCACTGCCCAGCGAGTGAGCGGGGATGACTGTAGGCATAATATGCATCCGCCACATGGTGTCCGTGAACGAGGCACGCGAACAGCGCGAATGCGTCGCGTTGTACTCCGGCGCTATCATCTTGTTCCTGTGCAGCATCAGGCTCAACGTTACCGGCAAGGACAGTCATTCGCCTTGCATTGCTCCAGTGTTGTCAAAGTTGACCGTGCCATGCGGCCACAGCATGCGGCTCGAACGACAATGCAAATCGAGATTGATATTCTCCAGCCGCTTTAACGTTGAGTCAAACTGAAAGATTTCCTAATTACCATATCACAGTACTCAATCGCCCTGAACAGCAAGAATAACAGGTGGAAACGAAAGCAAATAATTCTTTAACAAGGATGCCCAAACCAATTCAATAACTACTGGATTATGGTAATTAAAACTCACAGTCAAAAGATACATGTATTACTACTTCGTGCCGGCTCATCAATGACTGGAGTGTTAAAGCGGCTGCTACGCGAGAACACACACGCCGAGCTATCGCCACAAGACCGACAATTTGTATGATGGGACTCGAGATTTGATTCAACAGAATCGCGAACCGCGAATCGAATTTGAATCTCCTTAGTTTGAGGAAGGCCGGAATGTGCCGACATAAATTTTTACCAGTACCAACTATTATATGTGGGTTTAAAAAAAGCACCATGGGTACTGTGAATTCCGGCCAAACTTGGCTGTTGACTGGGTCACCAACTTACAAATTCCCTGTTGTTTCGAAACCGCCCTGTGCTACAGGCTGCAGCCTGCAGCTGCATCAGTCCCGATCGTACTTATGTAGACCAATATTCAACCTAAGTATTTTGCTCTTGGCCTCTAGAACGAACTCGTCGAGCAGCTTAGCTACCGCAACGAATGCGCTATACTGCCTCGTCAGCTTATCGTGACTTTGTCTCGCTGGCCTTGGATAAATCACCAGCTTCTGCCAAAAACAAATGCAGGCGAACTTGACCTTCTACTTAGCCCACTTGACATTGTAAATAAAAATTCAACTTTAGAGCATTCTACTCAATTGTTCAGAGCATCTCCACTGAGCTGAGTAACCCATACTGCTCGAATTCCTTAAGCTAAGTCGTGCTTCGCCGCTCTGAAATCTAGCAAAACAAATTATTGTCTAATTTTTCGGGCAAATTTGGACGGAATTCACAATAGCTATTTCGAGAGCTGTAGTAATTAGAGAATTGGATGGGATCAAAGTTGGGTGTAAATTCCTTGCAAAAATCCCATTTATAAATCGAGGTTTTTTAATCAGGTTAAGTGCGACCGACAAACTGTGCCCCTTACTCAATCCAAGTGATAATTCGACCCTATATACTCGCCTTCTGACCACGTAGAATCTCCTAGTCATGGTGGAGCCTGAAGCCGATGCCATCGAAGACTCTTCGTACTCACCTTCGCCGCCAGCGCCAACGCTCTTCAAGGGTAAACGCTTCAAAGACAGCAAGACCGCATTCTACGCTGTCCAAGACTACGCGCTCTACCACAACAAGCAAGTTAAAGTTGCTCGACGCGGAGGTAAGCACCGCCGAATGGTGTGCGCGTCTACCGAACCATGCCCATTCTTCGTTCAGCTCTATCTGCACAACTCCAAGACAGACCACACGTGGTACGTCTCCAGCTCCGACCTGACGCACTCGCCTCAGTGCACGTCAACGGCTAAGCCTACGCAGCGCCAATTGGTAGAGAGTCCGAGCTTCCAGAAGGCGCTGGCGACCACCCCCAACGGCACGGCTGCACAACTGTTGCGGCAACTTAAGGGTAAGACGAACCTACGCACAATCTATCGAGCCAAGCAGATCATGAAGCAGGAATTATTGAACCAAGTGGGTAACTCGTTCCGTAAGATTCCGTCACTCTTACAGAATTTCACTGAGTTAAACCCTGGGTCCTTCACAAGATATGAAGTCGGAGGTCCGCAGAGTAGAGTGCCCGGGTCCTTTTCCAGAGCTTTTCTGAGCTGTTCTGTATTCACGCAATCGACGAGTTTTAACCAGCAGATATATGGGTTTGAAGTAGTACCATGCAACAACAGTGAAGCGAACTACCAAGGAGTGCAGATGTTTTTGCTGGGCAAAGACGGCAATATGCGGAATGTGACGATTGCAGTGGCGTGTTGCGACGCACCGTCAAGTGAGAATTATCGGTGGTTCTTCAGGTGTGTGGAAGAAAGTGGCGTGAACTTGAGATACTGCCCTGTATTGTGTGCCATTGACGCAGAGTTGCTGGCTGTGGAGAGTGAATTAGGGCTTACTCTGCGCTACTGCACGAGATACATTATCGAACATGAGTTGGTGCACATCGGGTCATTTAACAAGCACCATCATGCGCTGGTATGGGGACTACAAGGATCCGAGACGGAGACGGAGTACTGCAATCGTCTTGAATGGATCGGCACGACCTGCGGACCTGCAGTGGAAAACTATCTCCGACAGTTCCCTATAGAGAGGTGGGTTGTTGCCGGGAATGTTGGGAAAGTAGCGATGTATGGATGGCGAAGTCGGACGTTTTTCGAGACGTTGGAGCAGGAACAGCTAGCCAATACTGGAGGAGGAAACGGACTTAGTGTTGGTGGTCTGGGTCTTGGAGGAAGTAGTGTCGGTAATAGCGGGACTAGTCTAGCTGCTGCGGCTATTACTGCAACCGACACACAGGCTGTAAGTGCAGAAGGCACCGGGTCAGCCCAGGGACTTGATCGGTACCGTGATATGCTTCCTTTTGCCTTTTTTGAAGCAGTTATGACATCTTTCATGGACGACGCATTCGAGCGCAGCACATTGGCAGGCAAGTGGAAGCTGAACAATCGAAAAGTAACGCAAGGGGCTCAAGACCTCTACGATGCACAATGTAAGCGTATCGGCGAGTACAAAGTAAATCGCGCTTCGGAAACTGTGGCATTTGTGACGAAGATGGACCAGGATTCAAGTGCTCGACGTCGCGTGGACTTGCAGACCAGCACCTGTACGTGCGCGTTCATCACGCAGTACGCTATTCCATGCCGTCATCTTATCGCGGTGCTGCTATTCTGCGACCAGATGGACTCAGTCATCGAGCGCTTTGCTCCTGGCTATCTTGTGGAGAACTATGTGCTGGCATTCGAGACGAAAGTAGTCGAGATCCCGCTTAGTTCAGCTATCTCTGTAAACCCTGCCTGTATTCCTCCTATGAGTATTCCATCCGCTCGAGGTGCCACGGGAAATGGTGAAGGGGTCAACTCAGCATCACGTCGCGGAACCAAGCGTCCAGCAGCTGAGCCAACTAACAGTGTCGCGAACGAAGCACAGATAGTGGATGCCGAGCCAGGTAGAGCACCTCAACGTATTCGGCTGTGCAAAAAGTGTCGCGGCCCCGGACATAATTCTAGGAGCTGTCCTGGACTCGCTGTAGCTCAACAAAGCATCTGATCGAAGCGTTCACTGGTTAAAAGCTCCAACGTATCCTAAACTTAACGTTAATTACAGTAATAAACTTGTCGTTTTTAATGTCGAGGAAGATTTGAATCGGTAATGACATAGCTGGCTCGTTGTATACAGGTGACGGTCTGCAATACACGTAGGACTCTCTTGGTTGAACGAGGCTCGGATACTGGAGAATCTCCAGTGTATTTATTGCATGCAGCGAGCAACCTTTGCTTGCACTTGATTTGCAGCAAGAGAGCGACATAAAGCAGTGCGACGAAGGGGTCTTCAACATGAAGAAAGTGCGAACCAAAAGGGATCTAGAGCGTACACGGGCAAGTTGACGTCCTCCTCGTTGCGATTAATTGTGAAAGTTGAAGCATTTTGTTCCGGCCTGCGAATTCCTCCGGTTGCTGTGAGTTGAAGGACTTGTTAACGCGGGTCAGCGGTACATGTGTAAGTTGATAAGCATTACGGTAGCTTTGCTGCCATTTGGGGGGAAGTCTGCACGCAAGCCGGAGCGACGGTGAGTCCTCCTCGAGCTTCGCATATTCAAAGAAAGGGGAGGGTAATCTTGAGCTGGAGTCAACAGCAGCGATTAGTCCTGCAGTCGACCGACACTTGACTCAAAGTGACTCAGTTTCAGTAAAGTGCAACCACAAGCCAAACTCCTCGGTATCTGCACTTCTCCATGATAGCACGCACGAATTGAAAGCTCTCCGCGCATCTCGCTCAAGAACGCTGGCAAATCGTAGCGCTCAAGTGTAGGAACCAGGGGCTGAAAAGATTCGGATAACTTCAATATGCATTTGGTTTGGTTGTCACAAACAGCTGCGGCTGACTTGGCGTGCATCGCAGTTATCGATAACCTCTAGATCAAAGAAACCAACGCCCCCCCCCCCCCACGATAAGTCGCAATGTGGTGGACACGCATCCTGGACATGCTGCAAGATGTCTTTTGACAGCGGCAACACAGTTTACGCGCCCAAACCTCCACTGAAAGTGGTGTCGCAGCATCCCGAAGTGTCTGTGACACCTCTGTTTCGGCAAATGCACTTCATGCAGTACCGTGCATGTACAGATCAGCATGCACGACTGGAGAACGTGAGTTCAAGTGCCGAGCATGCGTTTTCCGATTGCTACTTCGCGTCTGAAATAACCGCCGCACGACCAGCGCTCTCTGGCCAACAATCCGCTTCACATACCAACGCCTCCAACGCGACGGCGGTTTATTTCGTCTAATAGCGTCGACGCCCCATCTTATCTCAGCCAACTTCGAAAATGTGCAGACGCTGCGGAAGCGTTGCACTGCGCCTTATCTTCGAGATTTGCACGTCCTCTTCCAGAAGACCTTCCAGAATATACCATACCAACCAAGACTTACATGAGCAACTACCGCTCAACAAATGAACAAGCAACTATTGCAGCAGGACAATAAGCGTGTTGGCCACAGTGACGACTAGCAATTGACCGTTGGTCTCCGTTACACGAATTAAAACCCACTGGCGTGAGTGAAGGTCTCGTCCGTCGAAACGCGAATCAGATCGAGTCATTTAGGAGATTAACCAATCAAATAGCGAGCCCATCACGTTACCTTTTGAGATCTCGCACGTGCGCTTCGCGTTGAAGTGCGCATCCATCAACTTTCGCCCCATCCAAGGCCTATCCAGGACCTGCGCTTTGGTAAACCGACACTAGTTGATGTTGACCACTAGGCCTCATTTCCGAATTGGCTTCCTAGGCCTCACATCTCCCACCACCACCAACCACAAACGGGAGTGAAGGTCACACCTCCCGTACTTTTTCTCCTGCTTCAACTCGCCCATTTTCAACTGCGATGTCAGGCTACGAGAGTGGGGCTTCCTTGCCCTCACGCTCGCTGCAGGACAGCACCAACTACGCCAGATTGGAGTCGCCTCGTGCGTCCTCCCGCTCCTTCGAGCTGCCAGCACACCACGTCGTGGACGTGTCTGGCGGCGCGCGGTCCTTCTCGGCCGCCGATCTGTACCATGTCGACGCCAAGATGGCCACCAACACAAACTCGGCTGGAGTGGGCCCCAGCACCCCGCTACCTGACCACCGTTCGCGCTTTTTGAGCGATGGAGAGCTGCTACTCGCTGCCAACCCCGTGCCCACGCGGGAGTCGTTCGCGACGCTCAATGAGACGGACGAGAAGACATGGCATCAACGGTCTACCGAGCTCATCTCTAAGATGCTCAACACGAACCTCGAGCGAGGACTGAATGGCATGGATGTGGAGCGTCGGATACTACGCTACGGCGTCAATGCGCTGGAGGAAGAAACCAAAACACCAGTCATCGTGATCTTCCTACTGCAATTCTACAATCTCATCATCGCCATGCTGCTATTTGCTGCCCTAGCGTCTTTGGCTCTACAAGAATGGGTTGAAGGTATCGCTATTCTCGCTATCGTCACGCTGAACGCAGGCGTGGCGACGTATCAGGAACACTCTGCTAGTAACGCGCTGGCAGCGCTTGCCAGTCTGTCGAGCCCGCAATCACTCGTCATCCGTGACGGGATGCAGCAGGTGGTAGACAGCAAGCAGCTGGTGCCCGGAGACATCGTGATCCTCGTCACAGGCGACGTTGTGCCTGCCGACATCCGGTTGTTCACTAGTGTGGATCTCAAATGTAACGAAATGTTACTCACGGGCGAGTCGGAAGATGTTCCCAAGAAGTACAATGCTCCGATCCACCCTACTGGCGCTGGCAAGCCTGCCAAATTGACAGCCAGTAACATGGTCTTCTCGTCCACGACGATCACAGCTGGTAACGCTCGCGGTATTGTAGTGGAAACCGGTATGAGCACGCGTGTGGGTTCCATTGCAGCTCTACTACAAGCCAAGAGCGGCACAGATGCAGCAGCAGAGAAGAAGTGGATCCGTAATCCCATTGGTGACTGCATCGCCAAGCACCGTCCAAAGCTCACGCCTCTGCAACGAGCTCTACACCACACGGGATACATCATGGGTCTCATCGCAGTGGGCGTCGCTATCCTCGTCTTTGTCGTCGGTATGATCCGTGGCAATGAAGACCCGCGCCATCCCGACAGACCCACGTACTTGACGATGATCATGGCTGCCGTATCTGTGGCGGTGAGTGCTGTTCCTGAAGGTCTTCCGATGGTCGTGACTATTTGTCTGTCTTCGGGAACTGCGGAGATGGTCAAGAAGAATGTGCTTGTGCGTAAACTGGCTTCGGTGGAGACACTAGGTGCAGCTTCAGTGATCTGTACCGACAAGACGGGCACGCTAACAGAAGGCAAGATGACTGCAGTGAAGCTCTGGGGCGATTTCCACGAGTATTCTATCACTGGCAAGGGATTCACTCCCGAAGGTTCCATTCTAGCTGCGGACGGTAGCAGTCAAGCTGAACCAGAGGCTGGTAACGTCCAAGTTCGCGCTACTTTGATGGCCTCAGTGCTGTGCAGTAACACGCAACTGAAGCAAGTGGAAGGCGACGATGGGGAGAGTCGTTGGGTTCCATTTGGCAACTCGTCCGAGGCTCCTTTGGTTGTTGCAGCCGCCAAGGCAGGTATCTGGGAAGACAATCTGCTAGAAGACTACCCTCGTCTAGTGGAGGTTCCGTTCAGTTCTTCGCGTAAGATGATGGTCACGGTGAACGCTGTCCCAGTCGTGAGTGGCACAGCAATGTTTGATACCTTGGAGCTACCTGGTGACAGACCTCCCAAGCTTGTGGCCAACGTCAAGGGCGCACCAAATTACATTCTACGTAACTGCACACAGTACTGTCGGAAGGATGGCACGTTCGAGACTCTGAACAATGTGCAGCGTCAGGAGATTCTGGAGGCGGTGGACGCGCTATCGTCTCAAGCTCTGCGTGTTCTTGCTGTAGCCATCCAGCCGATGCACGAACTGCCGTTCGGAAAGGACTGCGACGATGTGGACGAGAAGTTCGCAGCGCTGTCGAAGCCCTTGGTGTTCCTCGGACTGGTGGCGTCGATTGACCCGGAACGTGACGGTGTGCGTGATGCCATCGCCACTGCACGCGCGGCTTCGATCCGTACGGTGATGATCACAGGCGACTACCTCGCTACTGCCGTCGCTATCGCCAAGAACATTGATCTGCTACAAGTCGGCGCTGACCCGGAAGCTCAAGCTACCGATTGTACTCAATTGCGTCCGAATGGTGACGTGTACTTGCCTCCCGCTGACATCGACGAGATCACGTCACGCACGCTGGTTTTCGCCCGTGCCAAGCCTGAAGACAAGATCGAGATCGTCAAGTCTCTTCAACGTCAAGGTCTCATCGCTGCGATGACTGGAGACGGTGTCAACGACGCACCTGCGTTGAAGGAGGCTGATATCGGTGTGGCCATGGGCATTTCCGGAACCGAAGTCGCCAAGGGAGCGTCCGACATGATCTTGACCGACGACAACTTCTGCAGTATCGTCTCGGCAGTGGAAAAGGGTCGTGTCATCTACGCCAACATCCAGAAGTTCGTCATGTTCTTGCTGTCCACGAACATTGGAGAGATTATCCTGATCTTCATCTCGGTGGCTGGAGGTTTCCCTCTCCCTCTTGAGGCGCTGCACATTCTGCTGCTCAACCTGTTCACGGACGGTATGCCTGCTGTTGCCCTGAGCTTGGAGAAGGGCGACCCACACATCATGGCAGACAAACCGCGTCACAAACAGACTTCGCTCATCCACGGACGACTGTGGTTGCTCGTGTTATTTAACGCCTTTTTACTTCTTGCTGGAGCCATGACCACGTTCCTCTTGGGACTCTACTGGAACTTCGGTGAACTGCTGACAGACGACATCTACAACGCTGGCGGAGGTGCCGACGGTACCGATTACACGGACGTGACGTGTCGGCGCTGGGAAGGCATCGACGATGGCTGGAAGCTGTACGGTAACTGCGCTGCCCAATACTCCGATGGATCGTACATTTTCGGCGAGGAAGTAGCCGGCATGACGTCGTTCGAGAACTCTACGGCTTACTGTGAAGGAGGAGACTACGACTGCGTGCCGGCAGGTCTGGGTCGTGCACAGACGATGGTATTCTTGGGCTTGGCCTTCACGGAGGTGCTGCGAGCCTACACGGTGCGTCACTTCACTGAACCTGTGTTCGCGCGGATGCTGTCGAATGGCTACATGCAGCTCGCGGCGTGTATGTCGGTGATTTTGACGGTGCTCGTGAGCAACGTGCCTGTTATTATGGACGACATCTTCGGATTCGAGTACATTTCATGGTACCAGTGGCTTGTGGTCGGCGCAGTAGCAGTCAACAACGCATTCTGGGGCGAAATCCTGAAGGCCTTTTTGCGACGGAAGGACCGGGCGCAGGCTCGATGGGACCACATGAAGGCTGGATTTGAGGAGATCTTGCTCGAGATCCGGCATGTGCGCCATCATGTCGAACTACTCGAAGCTGGTGGGCCCAAAAAGCGTGTGTAAAGACACGATGGACGAGAAGTTGGCGAAGTGTGTATTGCGTATGGATCGACGTGCGTCAAGGCAGCTAAGACCAGGAAAACTGTCGAGTGAGTTCGTTCTCGAGTCCCAAGAGCAGAGATCGAGTGTTGTTAGCTTGGCGTTATAATGAATTTATCAATAAAAGCTTATTAAAAAAAAAAACTGGTGGAAAGCCAAAAAGAAACAAAAAGAATCTGGAAAAAAACTCCAAGTCAAAATCAACAAGAACGGCCTCCAACCAAAATTTAATAACCAAACAAAAAGAAACTGGAAAAACTTCAAAAAAAATTCGCTTGTCGTTGGATGGCATTCAGACGAAAAAAAACCATTAAAAATTTAATGGGTTTTTATTGTCTGAATGCCATCCAATGGCATGGTTCATTTGAGTTATTCGGAACCCAAATAAACGGGGGTCAAATTTTGGGTCGTAATAAAATAGGATTGGATAGCATTCAGACGAAAAAACCCATTAAAAAATTAATGGGTTGTTTTCGTCTGAATGCCATCCCGGCTAATCAGATCTCTCGAAATATTTTTTCCATTCCCGTTTAAGTTGTGTTGGGTACTACAGTACTTTGTGTAATCATATTACGCGTCAAACATGTATCATCTTGGCAATGATTTCATCATCAAGCACGTCATGTGATTGCAACAAGCAATTCGCTAATCAAAGTTGATAGGATACCTCCAGCGCGATGACCACTGGCCATTGGCCAGGCGACGATTTCGACAATCAAGCAAGTAATCTGATTACAGCTAGTAGCTCATAATCATAAAATAGTTCTCAATCGCAAAATAACGTAAAGAAGTTATCTTCCTGTTTCAACTTGCGAGAATGGATCTTTTTCGCTATCTTGTGCTGTCGTGCTACGCCAGGTTTCGCCAACAACATGAGAGTAGTATCAGCAAGAACCGAAACTCTAGCTTTAGTTCGACTGACTCAGTCAACCGCTTTCGGGAACTTCGACGAGAGAACAGGACTATATATATATATATATATATTTTTTTTTTTGGATTACCTGTACCAGACCGTAGTTGAAGTAGAAAACGTTTCCCGTAAGGAAGCGGCTTTAGTGCAATGACCCGAGAAAGGTTTTGTTTGATTTGATTTGTTGTGGATTGCAGACAAGGAGCTACCCCAATAGTTCGCGCGCCGCAGCCTTCGACTGAGCTCATTAACTAATTTCGCTCCTTCCAGAAAGTTGAACAAGAATGAAATTTATCTTCCAGGTTTTCGCGGCGGCGGCTTTCGTGGCAGGTGGTGCTACAGCCTTGGAGAAGGGAGTTCTACTGGGACAGACTTTCGGTGGACCCCATGGCGACAAGTTCTCGGATCTGGAAAAAGTTTCCCCTGGCCAAACTGTGCGTTCTATCACGATTCGCTCTGCCGACCGCATCGACGCCGTCAGCCTGGAAGTGGTGGACCCATCGGGACAGAAAACCACCCTGTACCACGGCGGCGACGGTGGTGACTCGAACACCATCCTTCTAGGTGCTGACGAGCACATCATCGGCGTCCAAGCACACTGGGGGAAGTACTACCGCAAAACGCGCATCATGTACATCGAGTTCACCACTGACAAGGGAAACACCATTTCTGGCGGAACTCCAACCGATAACGTTGGAAAAGACATCGCGCCAGAAGGATACCAGTTGGGCGGCTTGGCTGGCTACTGCGGTAACGAGCTTGACTCGCTGGGAGCTATTTGGACCAGCATTGAACCAGTAGACGGCAACATACAACTTAACTTGCAGTTTTAGAAACTGCGGAGTGGATGTATACCGCGTGGAGCTGGTTTCACGGCACATTACGTCGTAGTCACACGAGAGAAAAAAAAAAAAAACACTGGAAGCGTTTACTAACACGGAAAAACGTTTCATAACGAATTTTTCGATTTAATCAGCAATGCATACGCCTGTCTAAAATTTCTGCTGCAGTATGACACCTGGAGAATGCCTCAGAAATGTATTATTCTGTATAGTTAAGGGGGAAACCGAGTGGGTGTTTTGATCATAACACGATGATATATTAACAAATTATGTGTTGTTGTTGGAGATCATCGCACCACCAGCCTGACCCTCTAGTTCCCTCTATTTAGCAATATAAATCGCCTTGCCTCGTCTTCTACAAAAGCGCTTATCAACTCTGTTGCTATTGGCAGATGCAGAGCTGATTCGTGCAAATGCGTGGGTTTATAATAATATTATGTAAGTCAACTGATTTACATATTATATTATAATATGTGAATCAGTTGATTTACATAGTATAGTATTTTAGTAGTCGTGGTGCGTTTTAGCGCTAAATGTATTAATACATAATACACCTCACATTATTTTCGCGTCGTCAACCCAAAAATAAATTTGAGCAAATACTGTTATTATCGTTTTGTATGTCAGGCAAAAAGTGTTATGTTTCCAACTAATAAAATAGGGGAACTCATGTCTCCGGAAAGGCCGGGGAGCTGTCAATGATCAAGTTTTTCTGTGCACGAGGAAAAATCAATTGATATCCACCTGATCTGCTTCAGCCTTACCACCCACGATTGCTTTTCTTCGGTAATAATTGATGTCACGGACGATCGATGCTTCGTGCGCCGTGAACCAGCGCGACTGCGGCACACACACTACACACAGCGAGATTACCCCAGTTTTATGCGGGGGTGTTCACGCTGTTCGACGACGTAATCCAGATCCTTACATCACGTAATGATCCTGGAAGACGTCAAATTATGTGTCAGCGTTTGAATCGTACCCGATGCATGTTCCATAGCTGTTCACATTTATTAAAACACGCATGCTTAACCACGCGACAGGTATAACTTTCAGCACATTCTGTTATTTCCACAATAATGTGTATATCCTCCAGGTCGCCTATCTTCATGTTTAGCTGCTATCAACCAACAAACGGCAAAATTCACGACGGTAGTGGTTCACCAGAGTGCTCACTAGAATGCATATTTTGATACGTACAAACACACCGCGCCTTCTATCTCGTACGAGTTGCCGGTGTACGTCAACAATCCCGTCTGCTCGTCCGCCTTAAACACGAACGTGTCATTCGACATCTGGTTTGCCACGATGAGCCAGTCTTCATAAATCGTGAACCCACGAGGTGTTCGACCGCGTGTGCTCTCCCAACCGAGGGACGTCAGTGTTCCATCTACCTCATTAATCGCGTAGATTGAGATCGAGTTGTGGCCACGGTTCGACACGTACACGAACTTGCCGTTATTCGAGAGATGGATGTCAGCAACTGTGCTTGTGGTAGTGAAGTTGGCTGGCAGGGTCGTGATGTTCTGAATCGCTAGACTCTCCAACAGAGACGTTTGCGGGTTGATCTTGTACACACCGACAGTGTTGGAGATCTCGTCCGTGACGTACAGATAGTCTCCATTGGTGCTCAGTACTGAGTGACGTGGTCCAGATCCGGGTGGACGGTAGACCGGCTCGAGCTTTTTCAGCGTCCGAGCTGTTGTATCCAGCTCGTATTGCAACAAGGTATCACCTCCAAGATCGAAAGCTACCACGTGGTTGGAGTTAGGCAACCACCTCGTGCTGTGGATATGACCCGTAGCCTGCTGATCCATGACGACGCGACTTCCATTCGGGAAAGCCTCGTAATACGTTTCGGGTGCCACGGTTCCGTTCTCATAGAGCGAAAACAGGGAGAGACTTCCAGCGTAGTTAGCGACAGCGATGAAGTCTTCGTTCGGGCTGAGCGTGATGTGAGCTGGGGAACCGCCCAGCATCTGCTGTGAGTTGAGCAGATCAAGCTTACCGTCGGCGTTCAGTGTCATCGCCGACACGTATCCGATACCCGTCGCACGGTTGAGTGCGTAGATCACAGGCTTGCCGTCGGATTTCTTGTTGGTCGCTTCTAGGAGATAGGTGGGGTTAAACCCTCCTGGCGCAAAGCTGAGAGGCGTGATCGCCCACTGCGTGAGGGATCCGTCAGTGGTATTTAACTTGTACGTGTAGATACCCTTGCTCGTCTCGTTGGTCCAGGTAGCGGCGAATAGGATCGGTTGCGACTCGCGCTGCTCCCCTTGTTGCATTGTTCCGGCAGTGACACCGAGCATGGCAGACAATATATAAACAAGGTGACCGAGTAGAAGCATCTCGAGTCGGCGATAGGCTTGGGGGTTGAGGCTTGGACGTTAAATTTGGAAATAGGCATGAATGGAACGCCGGAGCTTTCCAGTTCGAGTTCCTTTTACCAGGACGCTGTTGCTGCTAAGTAGTTAGATGATGTATGTAGTGTTGACGGGACGGCTTTGCGTATGTTTCAGAAGCCACCTGTTGATTGCGAAAGTTATGACCATGTTGAAAAAACGTGTTTCAGAGGATCGAGAGTTGGGTATTATTATTATTAGAAAAATTTAATGTCTGGATATATCAACGAAGTTTGCCAGGTTGGTATACATTCCATCAAGCTTCCACAGAATTTCGATTTAAATAGTATCAACCATCTATCTGCTAGTTTCTGGTAAAATCTGGATCCAGATTTTGATGCAGCTCAACTTGTCTATAGCATTACAGCCCCCCCCCCCCCCCCCCCTAAAATCTGGATCCAGATTTTGATGCAGCTCAACTTGTCTATAGCATTACAGCCCCCCTATTCTTGACTTTAAACCAGCTCACGGACAAATTTATACACCATGGAATGTTCTACTGTTGACCATCGTTGCTGTGCGTCAAAGCCAAAGCGTTGATTATGGGACGTTCAGAACAAAACCCTTCTTGCTAAAAGTGTAGCTGTCACACCTGGAAAAACTTGCTGAGGCGAACTAAAATCTCTGGAGAACTAATCTCTTACACTTCCAGAACTCAAACCGCATTCTTGACCTCGGCTATTGATACCAAGCATTTTATACATGCGTTTTACCTGGCTGTTCCTGAGTGCGATCATCGTATTTGCTTGGACTAACGCGGTTTTAGGACTAACGGCCGTCAAGGAGAATGTGCCTGAATCCAAATCGTTGCAGCGTTCTACGAATGATAAACAAGATGAGAGTAGTGCCAATAGATCTTTACGGGGCAAGTTTAAATCGCTTGCTCATAGTGATACTGGCCATGCCGCGGATGACGAAGAAAGAACGACAGCAGTGATACTAGCACACAAGATTCTTTCGGATCAAGCGAGGAAAACGAAAGTTCTGGATAAACTTTCCACTTTGGTGGATAAAGGAAAAAAACTGACGAGACTAAATCACTTCAAGATTGACCAGCAGAAGTTGGACGCATTTCAAGAGGATACCGAATTCTACAGTTTTTTTTACGGGGTATGAACCCTTCCACGGTCAAAAAAGAATATTTCAGGAGGTTTGGACTCGCTGGAGACGAGTTGGCCGACAAATACAGCACGTACTACAAGAATAAATACCAAAGCCGCTCATCCCTTGAGCCAGCAATTCGAACATCCGAACAGTATTATTGAGTATACGCTTGCTTTCTTGTAATCTAAACGCGTCAAGGTTGCAAAAGTCGTACTTTTACAGTTAACCACTGCCAAACGAAGAAGTTCATACTTTTACATTTAGCTACTGCCAAACAACACTACAGTAAAATAAAACTGTATTACTTGATATGTATTATTAGTATTGGTGTCAAATAAATATATTAATGTTGTAATACATATTTATTATAATAGTACTGCAGAAATTTTCATTTTATTGTCTGCGTGAGCTCTGAATTATGGATGAATATCGTTATGGTGCCGACACATATGTTTTCCCAAGAGCACGCTGGATACACTAGAGAGTGTAATGATCACGAAGTGCTTGTCCCTCGAGATCAAATCGGGTGCCAGGTTAGACTAGTCATTTTATAGTTTTCGATTAGTCACTGTGATGGTGGCATGCAAGGCCACATTTTGTGGCAGCTCGTCCAACCCGCAACCAGCACACTTGGAGTGAGCTCTGGTGGAGTATAGTGAAGCAGATCGCGGACAGCACCATGATGTGGGTGTGAACACCGTTCAGCCGTACCATAAAAACACGGGCGGATATTCAGGGATCCAGGTGCTACTGGACTTGCACTTGGATGCAACCAGAGCATACGCTCAGGGCGGCTCTTCCTGGACTGCCAAGACGACAGGCGAGAGCACTCGTAAGTTATGCTAGATAGCTCAGTTTTGCTTTTGCAATCTGATCAACAATACCATTTGGTCTTCGCGGGAGTTTCAGCTCCCAAACTGTTGTGGACACGTCGCAAAGTTAACTTTAATTTAAGTGTAAACAATGAGAACTCACAGCGGGCGTCAATCTCAAGTCGACCACGGTACCAGATCGACGTAGACGACTGGGATGAGCGCTACCTCGACCAGTGAAAACGCAAAGGCCTCGACAACTGCG